CCATTCTCTCCCTTTTTGATTCTATCATCTAGTATTTGCAGACACTATTCTTGTTTATGTGATCCCTTTGGTTCTTAGTCCTATCATTATGATCAATTGTGAACAGAAATTGATCACTTGGACTAGTGAGATGACATTGGTACATGCCACCTGGATGGGATTGAATTGGAATCCCCTGGTATGTTTCTAACTCTACCGTTTGAGGTAAGTCAGCTTGAGCATGTCCTGCATTGCACATCTCTTCCCTCTCTTATTCCCACTCTTATATTTAACAGCGATCACTTTTCAGTTAAGTTTCAGCACTTAAGAAGAATTGTGTATTGATTACAGTATTCAACCAAAAGTATTAAGTAGAACAAACAAAAAAAAAAAATACTAAGAGGGATAACATATCAAGTTGCTCATCAACAGTCAGGGTGAGGGCTGATCATGTCACCGTTTCTCATAGTGTTCATTTCACTTTAACAGGTTTCCTTTTGGTGCTCAGTTAGTTGTCACCTATCAAGGAGAACAAGTGGTATTTGTCCCTTTGGGATTGGCTTATTTCACTCAGCATAATGTTTTCCAAATTCCTAACAGGGATCACTTTTCAGTTAAAATTTAAACACCTAAGAATAATTGTGTGTTAATTACAGAGTTCAACCAATGGTACTAGAACAAAAAAAATGCTAAAATGGATAAAGTATTACATTGTACATCAACCGTCAGGACAAGAGCTGATCAAGTCACTGTTTCTCATAGTGTCCATTTCATTTCAACAAGTTTCCCCTTTGGTGCTCAGTTAGTTGTCACCGATCAGGGAGAACATATGATATTTGTCCCTTTGGGACTGGCTTAATTCACTCAGCATGATGTTTTCCCAATTCCTCCATCTTGTTGCAAATGACCGGGTTTCATTGTTTTTGACTGCTGTATGGTATTCTATAGAGTACATGTCCCATAATTTCTTTATCCAGTGTACTGTTGATGGGCATTTAGGTTGGTTCCAGGTCTTAGCTATTGTGAATTGTGCTGCGATAAACATTAGGGTGCAGACCACTTTTTTGTTTGCCAATTTAAACTCCTTTGGGTAAATTCCAAGGAGTGGGATGGCTGGGTCGAACGGTAGGGTTATATTCAGGTTTCTGAGGAATCTCCAGACTGACTTCCATAGTGGCTTGACCAGTTTGCATTCCCACCAACAGTGGGTTAGTGTCCCTTTTTCCCCCTCTCCAGCATCTATTGTTGGTAGATTTCTGAATGTGAGCCATTCTAACTGGGGTGAGGTGAAACCTTATTGTGGTTTTGATTTGCATTTCCCTGATTGCTAGTGATCTTTAACATTTTTTCATGTGTCTGTTGGCCCTTTGGATTTCTTCTTTTGAAAAATGTCTATTGAGGTCCTTGGCCCATCTCTTAAGTGGGTTGTTTGTTTTGATGTTGTGCTTATTTTAAACAGTGAGCTATATTTTCTCTCAACTGAAATTATACAATTTGCTAGATTCTTATATATAAATATCAATTAATATTTTGTGACATTCCAAACACTGAAGATTTTTTTCAACTACGAAAATGATCTATTGCAACTAGAGCTGATAATAATGAAAATTTAAAGATTTGGAGCATATGATATTTCTGGCAGCAGCAAAGAACAAGATGACAACATACAAATAAAACAAAGAAGAGATCCACACAGATATGACCTAACTGTTGGCTGGTATAATCATTTGGATGTAACAATCATATAAAAAATCATGATGAGAATGCATTCTCCATAATCAAAATATCTTATTGCATAGGGAGAATCTAAATTATATTAGAGAACAAGTTATTTGTTCCAAATTGTTATAAGCACTTAAGTAACTTTAAAAACACCAAAAAAGATATAAGGAATGATTCCCTATGACCCTTATCAAATAAGTGTTCTTAGAATTAACTGAAAAATACAATTTTCTACCATCTTTTAATAATATGACTTAGCTTCACAAATGTGTTTTCTCACTTGTTTTACTTTTCTGTCCTTAAAATAAATACACAGAGGCAGGCATTATGTGTTAATGAAGTCATGGGAAGACCTGAGGGAAGAAATTAATTTGCTTTCCATATAGACTGAGATCAATATAGACTGTTAAAACTATAAATATTTTAGTGTTAAGTTGGCCCATTTATTTCTTTGTTCAGGGGCTGATTCCTTATGTGACTTTCTAATGGTCATACAGACTGAAAAGTAAAAATAAGAAAAGGTGAACAATAAAAAAAGAAAAATTGAATAAAAGAAAGAAATTATTGGGATTTGGAAAAACTACTGTGATGGCCTTATACTGTGTATATGTATTGAAGTGTTGGACTGTATTTCTTAAAAATATGCAAGTTTGAATAAATAAGATACTGTAAGGAGAAAGAAAGATAAATATTTCCATGCATACATTTTCCATGAGCTAATTTAAGGCCTTTATTTATTAATAAAAATGTCATATATATATATGTGTGTGTGTGTGTGTATAGTGTGTGTGTGTATATATATATATATATTTAGAGAGAGAGAAAGAGAAAGGTCTTCTCGCTGCTAGTTCACTCCCCAAATGGCCACAAAGACCAGAGTTGCACACATCAGAATCCAGGAACTTCGTTTTGGTCTCACATGAACCATCTTTTACTGTTTTCCCAGGCTATAGAGTGCTGGATCGGAAGTGGAACAGTGGGGCCTCAAATCAGGGCCCATATGGGTTGTTGCCACTGCAGGTGGTTGCTTTATCTGCTATGCCACAACACTAGCCCCTGTATTTTTTGATAAATTAATTTTATATATAAATAGAGCATATTTGGGATTTATGAGAGAATAAGAAATTTGAAATAAATATAATTGCTATTCCTTTTAAAATGACCTAATCCTGGGGCCAGCACCCTGCCATAGCAGATAAAGTCACGGCCTGAAGTTCTGGCATCCCATATGTGCACTGGTTCGAGTCCCAGCTACTCCATTTCCAATCTGGCTCTCTGCTATGGTCTGGTAAAGCAGGAAAAGATGGCCCAAGAAAAATTTCCTGGCTTCTGGTTTAGACCAGCTCAGCCCCAGCCATTGCAGCCATTTGGGAGTGAATCAGCAGATGGAAGACCTCTCTCTCTGCCTCTGCCTCTCTGTAACTCTGATTTTCAAATAAATAAATAAATCTTAAAAAAAACTTTAACAATTCAATAAGGAATTCAAGCAAATGAGTTAATATCCATAGACATGCTGACTTGATCGGGGCTATGGCTCAATGAATTAAGCTATGATCTCTAGTGCCATCATCTCATATGGTCGCTGATTCAAGTCCTAGCTGCTCTGCGTCTGATCCAACTCCCTGCTAATGTGCATGGGAAAGCAGTGGAAGATGGTCCAAGTGCTTGTGGGAGACTCGGAAGAAGCCCCTGGCTCTTGGCTTGGCCTGGCCCAGCCCTGTTGGCCGTTGCAACCTTTTGGGTAGTGAACGGATCAACATGTCCTCTCTTCCTCTCTGTCTCTCTCTCTCACTGCCTTTCAAATAAATAAATCTTTGTTAAAAATGCTTACTATAGTCCCAAATAGTGGTTAACATCTGACTTACTGGAGATTTCCTAAGTTTTTGATATTTTTATTCTTTAGAATAGTACTGGAAATGTTCTTCAAAGTATTTTGTGAATGTGCAATATTAATATTGTCCTGCTGCATTACATTGAATCATATGGGTGGTACTTAATTCTTAATTCTCAGAGTTATTTTTATCATAAAACATAAACATTTAAAATTTTCAATTCTCAGAGTTTATCAGCCATAGATATTTCAATTTCTACCCAAGATATATTAGGATTTTTAATTTGTTCCAATTAGTAGCAGTATCTAGTGAAAACTGGAGCACTTGATTCTCAGTTTGGAATTGTTTCCATTTACACAAATACTAAACTGTAGAAAATGCATTTTATAATGAAAGTAAAATAGGATACAGAAAATCAAATGGCAGTCTAGTTTAAATTCAGAGTTAATATATGAAAAATCCATGTTTTGGTAGTACTAGTAATTATTATATTATTTATGGACAGCATGTCATATCGTGCTGCTTATATCTAATTTCATAAGGACAGAAACTTGATTTAGTGCATGTAATTACTAAGATATGCATCAGTCCCAATACCCACCATCAATGGGGATAATGCAACACCGATGCTGACCTTAATACTATTTTAGCAATATAAATTATAATCACATTTCCAGATGCCTCTTGTTTTATTGCTTAGTGTACATGATATATATATATATATACAATTAACTTTAAGAATATTACTTTGTGATACTCAATTTGAGATTCTGAAAGCTTGCATTGTGTCCCAATCTATTCTTTACACTGAAATATAGTTTATCTTATGTATGTTAGTGATTTGTTTATTGCAAACAGTGCGTTTCAGTAACAGTTTCAACTTGTCCAAAATGTGCAGCATATACAGTTTTCACAATGTAATTAGTTAGAAGTTGGGGGACCTTAATTTTGAGATTGAATTGTTCATGGAAATCTATTTTCATAGTCCCTATGACTTATGCCTTTTTTCTTCATAAAATGTTCTATAGCTGTTTGAAGAAATTAAGTGTAGTTAATCAGAGAGAACATTATGGTTTGACACTTAATTTGAAAGCCCTGTCATGAAGCAGTGAATGATGGCCTGTGGCATTAAATATTGCAGTGAGAACCCAAATAGGGAATACTTTCATGCCAAAAGTGTATCTCAGTATCGATGTAAGTCAGGGTGGCATTGTCTTTCCTTTTGTCAAACATATTTCATAAAAGTATACATATTTGCTAACATGTATAGCTTATCCTAGTCTAGTTTAATATATTAAGAAATAGTAAAATGGTGTTATAACAGAGTTATCTAATTACTGTACCCACAAGAGCAGATTAGTGGCCTTAAAGTTATTTTACTATGAAACTAAGTCAATCTCCTTCATGAAAGTGAAAAAGTAAGCTATCACGTTTTAAATTTTTGCATTTTACACTAAAAAAAATCTAACATTGGTGTTGGTTAAAATGTTTTCATCGCTATTGTCTCTTCTGTCTCTTCTTCAGTGCCGCCAGTGATCACAATGCCTCAGAAATCCTTTAATGCCACAGCAGACAGAGGCGAAGAGATGACATTATCTTGTAGGGCATCAGGCTCTCCGGAACCCACCATTGCTTGGTCCAGGTAGGTCAGGCACGTATGTTGCTCAGTCTTGTGTCCAAAACAAACACCTGGAATAATATTTTAGATCTTGATCATTTTGACAAGAAGCAAAGTCTTTAATGTAAAAATAATTAAAACATTTATTTGTTTAGTCAGAGTTAACAGGGGGATACAGAAAGAGAGAGATCTTCTATGCATTAGTTCACTCTCCAGGTGGGTGGAACTGCTGGGACTGGGCCAGGTCAAAGTCAGGAGCCAGGAGCTTATTCTGTGTCTCCCACCTGGGTGGCAGGGATCCAAACACTTGAGCTATCTTTCACATCTTCCCAGTCCATTAGCAGGGAGCTTGATAGGAAGTGGAGCAGCCAGAACGTGAAACAGTGCCCATTTGAGAGGCAAACATTGCATTAGGTGGCTTAAACTGCTGTGCCACAGTGATGGCTCTGAATAATTTTTTTAATTAAAAATAGAAAATTTTGTTTTCAGGTAAGTTGGTTAGAAAAATTACTTAGGGGATAAATAGGATGGAATTGCTCTGATTTTCCCAGTCAAAGGCTATACCACAATTCTTTTTTTTTTTTTTTTTTAAAGGCAGAGTGGACAGTAAGAGAGAGAGAGAGAGAGACAGAGAAAGGTCTTCCTTTTTCCATTGGTTCACCCCCACAATGGCCGCTGGGGCCGGCACACCGTGCTGATCCGAAGCCAGGAGCCAGGTGCTTCTCCTGGTCAGGTGCTTCTGTCTCCCATGCGGGTGCAGGGCCCAAGGACTTGGGCCATCCTCCATTGCACTCCCAGGCCACAGCAGAGAGCTGGACTGGAAGAGGAGCAACTGGGACAGAATCCGGCGCCCCCAACTGAGACTAGAACCCGGGGTACCACCGCCACATGTGGAGGATTAGCCTATTGAGCCGTGGCACCGGCCAACCACAATTCTTATTGTGGTCAACATGAGTGCAGGGTTCCTCTGACTGATTCAATCATTTTGTTGTTACCCATACACCACATCAGTAGACTCCCTAGGATAGCAGACTTAATTGTACAAAATCACATATTATTAAACTGTACTTGAACATTTCACTTGTTTACTATGTTACAAAAATAGAAGTAATTATGTAGAGTTAAAAGTACATGCACTTAATATGCACTTTAAAATGTGTACTTTATCAAATGAGTGAACTTTATATTCTAAATCTGTTCTTTGACAGTTTTCTCACTGCTTTTCTTTTGTTTCAGAATTTAATTTCCATTAAGATCAAGCGTGTATCGAATTTCTCTTTTCTTTTAGATTGTGACTTAATCTCCTAAAACTGGAAAACTTTTCAAATTTACAAATGTTTAGAAATATTTGTAGAATCATTTGTATGGGTATAATTCACCAAGTATATTTGTGTACTGCAAGAATAATCATAAGAAATGATTAGAAAAATATACATTCTAATATACATAAGCATCCACAGCTGAGATTACATTTTTTAAACTATGCTGAGGACAGTACTCAAAATACAAAACTAATTTTTCAGTATATTCTCTCTGACAATTTACTAAAATTATCTTTAGCTTTCCAACCTTTGTTCATCTTGTTTACACATTCAGTATAGCAGAAGGCAAACAGGGTGTTTTAGCTGTTCTTTCAGATATAAATTCTTTTGTGCCACATTGTTGATCTCTTTCTAGGGAATTACATATCAGGTATTACAGCATTCACCCCAGGTAATGATCATATATCCCAGAGACTCCCAATTTATTAATGTAGACTCTCGACAGTATCATATCTAATTACACATCAGAAATTCACTTGGCTTACTGGTTAGGATGAACAAATATTGCTCTGGGATCTTTCTCAAATGATTTTATATTTCACAGGAAACTTAGTTTTTGCTGTTTTTCTTAACATTTCTCATTCATTTGAAAATTATTTTTATTGCATTTAATTGGAAATCTAATTATCACACAGACTTAATCAGATTAATTACAGTTAATCAGATTCAAAGGATAACATAATGAGTAATTTAAATTTGTGATTTTTCGTGATATATTCACATGGCATCAATTTTATCTCTAGTGCAGGATGAAATCATAATTAGTTTAAAACCTAGTTCTGTTTGTGAGGATGCCCACATCCCACATCACAATGCCTAGATTAAATACTCAACTCCAGGTCTTAACTCAGCTTTCTGCCAATGGGGACCCTGGAAGGCATTAGATGATAATTAAAGTATTTGGGTCCCTGCCACTCATGTGGGAGACCTGGATTGAGTTCCCAGACTCCTGGCTTTGACACTCCCCCATCCAGGGCCTGTTGTGAATGTCTAGGAAGTTGTCCAGTGGATGGGATTCTGTCTCTTTGTGTCACTCAAATAAATGAAACATTTCAAAATAAATTAAACCTAAATCATTTTTCTAATCTCTGGATATAAAATCTATATGAAGAGAGTACAAGTATATGGTTATGACATTAATAGAGATAAAATTATTAATAGAGGGAAGTTTTTGCAGTTAGAAACATGTCATGATTGTGAAGTATTAGTGTTTGCACCAGGGAATGTATGTTAGTAGCCTGAAGGGAAAGAACTAAAGTAAACATGCTGCAAAGATAATACCTCCAAGTGATATGAGTGCATTCAGTTGCATTAGCCAGTTTAAGCTGCCACAAGATATGACAGCATGGGTGTAGTTGGCTAAAGCAACAAAAATTTATTTTCTCATGGTCCTGGATGCTAGAATTCCAAGAGCAGTGTGCCAGGAGAGTTGGATTCCAGTGAGTTTTCTCTTCCTTGTTTGCAGATGGCCATCTTTTCATTTTATCCTGGGGGTCTTTCCTTTGTGTGCTTGATGGAAAGAGAAAAAGAGGGTTACCAGTCCTATGGTTTAAGGTTCACATTAATGATTTCTTTTAACCTTAACTGGAGGTATAAAGACCCTGTGTCCAATAACAATACACTTGGGATGTAGTACTACAAGGAAAGAATGGTGTAGATGGGGATCACAATTTAGTCCATAACAATACTACAAGAAATTAGTTAAGTACCCAAAATTTGGAAATTATAACAGACTTTTTAAAAGAGAATCAGTAAAATTTAGTGACTTTTAAAATGAACTAGGGACATAAATAGTGACTGTCAATGTCTATTTCGTTTCAACTGCTTCTTATATAGCTATCAAGAACAAGATATGCTTTGTTTATTGTTAGTGCAATAATTTTCTGTAGATCATTGAGTTTCAAATATTAACACCTGAACTCCTTGTTTTAAATCTACTTTATAATGACCTATTAGGGCCGGCACCGCGGCTCAATAGGCTAATCCTCTAAATAGCGGCGACGGCACACCGGGTTCTAGTCCCGGTCGGGGCGCTGGATTCTGTCCCTATTGCTCCTCTTCCAGGCCAGCTCTCTGCTGTGGCCAGGGAGTGCAGTGGAGGATGGCCCAAGTGCTTGGGCCCTGCACCCCATGGGAGACCAGGAGAAGAACCTGGCTCCTGCCTTCAGATCAGCGCGGTGCGCCAGCCGCAGTGCTACAGCCTTGGCGGCCATTGGAAAGTGAAACAACGGCAAAGGAAGACCTTTCTCTCTGTCTCTCTCTCACTGTCCACTCTGCCTGTAAAAAAAAAAAAAAAAAAAAAAAAAAAAAAAAAAAAAAAAAAAGACCTATTAGTTTTTATATGCATTGCTTGCATCATCACTTATTCTTTAAGAATATTTGCATTCATGTGTTTGGGAGATATTGTTCAAATATTTAGTTGATCATGACTTGTTAGAAGTCATGCAATATTGGCTTCAAGGGATGAGTGTGGAGGTACTCTCTTCTCTTCTGTATTCTGATAATGCTTTAACACAACCTTCATTATTCCTTACCTAATTGTCTGCAAAAAATTTTGGTGACACAAAATATTTTTATGTACAAGGATTTAGCTACAAATTCAATTTTTTTCATAGATTTAGGAATATTCATGTTAACCTCTTTCTTTAGTGAGCTTTGATGATGTGTGTCATTCCAGAAATTTTTCTGTTTCTTTTGGATTATTTTTAAGGGCATAAACGCATTCACAGTATTCCCTTGTTACATTTTTTTTTTAATTTGCATTATCTACAGTGATCTCCCTTTCATCCTGATAAGCTAACAATCATGTTACTTGTTCTACTCTATTATTATTCTAATCAGTCTAGATGTAGGTTTATGACAATAATGTTCTCAATTAGTTTTTAGTTTTCATCATTTTCTCTTCATTTCCCTAGTTTTTATTTTATCAGTTTCTGGTTTTAATTTAAACCTTTATTTATTTAGAAGACAGAGCAAGAGAGAGAGAGACAGACAGAGAAATAGAAAAAATATACAGAGAGAAATCTTCCACTCTGTTCACCTTCCAAATCCACGCAACACCCACTGAGCCAGGCTTAAGCCAGAAACACAATCCATCTGCATCTCCCACTTGGGTGACTGCCATCTAAGTACTAGACCCATCATCTGCTGCCTTCTTAGGCGCATTAGTAGGAAGCTGGATTAAGAGGAATAGCAGGAACTTAAAATGGCACGCCCATATATAATGCTGAAGTCACAAGCGGCAGCTTAATTTTCCCTGCCATAAAACCAATCCTCTGTGATTTATTTATTTACTTATTTATTTGATGGAAAGAGTTAGACAGCAAGAGAGAGACAGAGAGAAAGGTCTCCCTTCTGTTGGTTCACTCCCCAAGTGGTCGCAACAGCCGGAAGCCAGGAACCAGGAGCTTCTTCCGGGTTTCCCATGCGGGTGTAGGTGCCCAAGCACTTGGGACATCCACCACTGCCCTCCCAGGCCACACCAGAGAGCTGGTCTGGAAGAGGAGCAACTGGGACGAGAACCGGCACCCATATGGGATGCCGGCACCGCAGGCAGAGGATTAACCAAGTGAGCCACGGCGCCAGCCCCCATGTGATTTATTTTTATTATTGCCTTTCTTTTGTTTATTTTCTGTTTAATTTTCCCTTCCTTTTTGGTTCCTTAAGATGTATAATAATACTATATATTCTTCTAATTTAAGCATATTTATTGTTTTTAGACACTTTTAATTGTATTCTTTTTTACACTGACATATTTTCAATTTTCTTCAATCCAAATATATCTGAAATTCTCTTATGATATCAATTTTGATATTGCTTGTTTAGAATATGCTAATTATTCCAAGCATTTCAAGATATCTCATATGTATTTCTGTTACTGATTTCTAACTACAGTTAGTACTTACCAAGGAACAGTCTTTAATGGGATCAATTTGCTGAAACATTGAGTCTCATGGACTATACTACTGATTTCTGTATGTACTTGAAAAAAATGCAATAGGTAAAACTGTATTCCACTATTATTACATGCAGTTATCTCTAAATATTGAACATGTCTACTTTCTTTGCAGTAATATTCAAGCCTTGGAATCATTACTTAATTCCTAACTACGGTTCTCCAACTTAATTTGTAAATGTAATTTTGTTCAATTCTCTGTTTTACTTCGTATTTTGAAGTTCTGTCACTGCACCTTTAAAATTTTTCCCACATCTGATAAGGACAAAATATTCATTCATTAGAATAGTAGATTAATTTTGTCATTAAAATCGAAAGAGTAAGTTATGAGGATACTTCAAAATATTCATGGAAAACAGAATTAAAAGTTAAATTTATTTTGCTACAACTTGTTTTTGGAAATATGTTTCTGCATAATATGCATCTTCCGTGAATTTTTTGAACTTCTCTATTATGCTGTTATTGTTAAAATTGGAATTACCTTCCATTGCTTATCCTGTTCATTTTAAAATCCTAATTCATACTTTCTTTTACCTAGAAAGGGGAAGTAGATTATATATCAAAGGATAGGCTTGTGGGAGTCTTGCAATATCCCTTTGTAGTGCTTTTGCAGACAGTGGTATTCCATACAAATGGACTATGAAAAACAATAGGAGTTTCTTCTAACAAATTTGCTGAGAGAGGAATATTAAAAATATTAATTAGGTTATTATGCTTTAATGATATTTTTAAGCTGAGCTCTTTAAGGAAACATAATCTTTACATATTGATTGCCTTTAAATTTCATCAATACTGGCCGGCGCTGTGGCTCAATAGGCTAATCCTCCACCTAGCGGCGCCTGCACACCGGGTTCTAGTCTCAGTCAGGGCACCGGATTCTTTCCCTGTTGCCCCTCTTCCAGGCCAGCTCTCTGCTGCGGCCCAGGAAGGCAGTGGAGGATGGCCCAAGTGCTTGGGCCCTGCACCCCATGGGACACCAGGAGAAGCACCTGGCACCTGCCTTCAGATCAGCGCGGTGCGCTGGCCGCAGCACGCCAGCCGTGGCAGCCATTGGAGGGTGAACCAACGCAAAAGGAAGACCTTTCTCTCTGTCTCTTTCTCACTATCCACTCTGCCTGTCAAAAAAAAAAAAAAAAAAATTCATCAATACTCTTTTCAACGGCCAATTAAATGATTTTCCCCATGAATACTGCAAGAGTATTTCAGTCATTTTTATTTCTATTTATTTCTATATTCTCCCATTGTGGCAGAATTCTTTCCCTAAGTTATGTGCTCATGTATAACCCTCTAATGCCAATGAAATTGAAAATTGTTCACAATTAGTGGCCACACTTTTGGTACGTTTCAGATATTGACCAAAATATTTCACGTGAGGCAGAGAAATAATTTTCTTTGTTACAAAGAACCCTGGAAAAAGTTATCATCCTGATTTCATTACTGTGTGCATTTAAATTTATTTATCTGTGAACTGACTGATGGAGACATCATATATGAATTTGAGTTTTCTTGTCTTTAAATGCAGAAGAAGGGAAAATATACATCTATAGGGGAATTGTGAGTATCAAATCATGGAAATAATGTAGGGAAAGTATTTATAGCTGTAAGTCACAAAAATCTCTATTATTAATTTGAAATAAATGAATAATTTTCATCAAAAAAGTTGAGAGATATATTGTATTACTACTTGTGTGAAATCCCTATTCAAACATTATATTTAGGCAAAAAATACTGCAATGTCATCTTTTTTTAAAATTGTAGTTTGTAGAAGTAAAAATGCAAAAAATACAGTATACACTTTTTTTTTTACTTTTTTTTTTTTTTTTTTTGGACAGGCAGAGTTAGACAGTGAGAGAGAGAGAGACAGAGAGAGACAGAGAGAAAGGTCTTCCTTTTGCTGTTGGTTCACCCCCCAAGTGGCTGCTATGGCTGGCGCTTTATGGCCTGTGCACTGCGCTGATCCGAAGCCAGGAGCCAGGTGCTGGGACATCCTCTACTGCACTCCCGGGCCACAGCAGAGAGCTGGACTGGAAGAGGAGCAACCAGGACAGAATCAGGCACCCCAACTGGGACTAGAACCTGGGGTGCCCGCGCAGGTGGAGGATTAGCCTATTGAGCCATGGGGCCAGCCTGTATACACTTTTTTTTTTTTTTTTAATTTTTTTGACAGGCAGAGTTAGACAGTGAGAGAGAGACAGAGAGAAAGGCCTTCCTTCCATTGGTTCATGCTCCAAATGGACGCTATGTCTGGCTTGCTGCGGCTTGCATGCTATGCTGATCCGAAGCCAGGAGACAGGTGCTTCCTCCTGGTCACCTGTGCAGGTAAAGGACCCAAGCACTTGGGCCATCCTCCACTGCCTTCCTGGACCACAGCGGAGAGCTGGACTGGAAGAGGAGCAACCGGGACAGAATCCAGTGCCCCAGTCGGGACTAGGACCCGGGATGCCAGCATTGTAGGCGGAGGATTAGCCTAGTGAGCCGAGGAACCGGCCTGTATACACTTTTTTGTTGTGATCTTATACAACTCGACTCTTTCCTTCATCATTCTTATGGAATTTTACACATTGTAAAATATATTTAGAGTTACCTTGAAAACTGAGGAAACAGATACCATTAAGTCAGAGAAAGATAAGGATTATCATAGTGTATATGTTAGTGCATTCTGAAAAGTGGAGCTAGAATTAACTACAAAGATTTTAGCCTGTGAGAAAAATGTTCCATTTTGTCTAAGAAAGATATTTTGCAATCTTTCTAGATATTCCATTTTTTTTTCTAAATTTAAACTTTGTGTACAAGTAAATCTCACAACTAAGATATGTTCTAAATTTTTCTATCAGTGGATCTTAAAACCAAATCAGTAACCCAAACCTCAAGAAAAATATGTAGAGAAACACAGAAAAAGAATCAGAGAAGGAGGAAAGGATGATGAAAAAATAGAAGTAAAAAGAATATCCATGAATGTTCTGAAATTATTAAGACAAATTTTAGAAAGAGGAAACTTGTAAAAGTATTTCTTCTCATTAGTGAATTAAATCATTATATTCATCATAATTTATTTAACTAGGTTTTTTTTACATCTTTTTCTCATATTACTCTTTGTTTAGCAATTCTTATATGCAAAAGCATTTCACATGGATTTTTCTTGCACATACTTTGAAAATACTTTAAAATAGTTTCACAGAAATTATTCTAAATGTGGCTCAGGAAATTAGTAAATAAGTATATTTCATAATTATTTGTTGATATAACAGCATATAAGCAGTATATGGATTTAAGATAGGTAAAGAAAATATTTCTCATCAATATAGTATAAATTGACAGTGTGATTATTTTGCCTGACTAATTTTAATATTCAATATAAATTTAAGATTTCAATATAGTTTAAATGATATTCTTGTTTCTAAAGTCAAAATAATTTTCTAGTGTCATTTTAATGCTTATGCATAAAGTTCTGATACTACTGAAATTATTCTTTAGATTGAAATAGAGTGTTGTCTAACAATTATAATAGAATAAGTAACTGATGCTTGTAGATCAGAAAGTCAATTATGATCTCTTACATGAAGAAGCCAGATTTTTCAAGATCAACCTATTTTTCCCCTTCAGGAATGGCAAGCTTATTGAAGAAAATGAGAAGTACATATTGAAAGGAAGCAATACAGAGCTCACTGTCAGGAACATAATCAATAGTGATGGGGGCCCTTATGTCTGCAGGGCCACAAATAAGGCAGGAGAAGATGAAAAGCAGGCTTTCCTCCAAGTCTTTGGTAAGTATTATTGCAAAGTGGTCTAAGTTACAATATCTAGAGAAAGTTTAGAAACAAAGCCCTACATACTAAAACACAAAATATTTTCTCATAATAAAACTCCATTTTCATCATTTTGAAATATATTTTTAAATTTTAGCTACCAGGTAATTATTTTAAGAATTATATAAAAATACAGGTGGGAACTTTGGCCTGACATTGGATGATTCATAAGAGAAGCTGGAAGAAAATCCATTTAAATTACATCTTAATGGATATGAGATATTTTATATCTATATGACAGTTGATCTTCATAAATATTTATATGACATGTTGGGATCAGTTTGACTTTCTGTATATTTTCAAAGAGCACATTTACAAGAATACAATTTAGAGCCAATGACCTTAACTAAAATTAAATTTTCTTTTTAATTGTATTAAATGAAAGCTTAAAGTAAATATCTTCCATATATATATTTATGACATAAATATATATAAATATATATATATATAATTTGGAAGATATATATATATAGGAGTCATTGTTTATGTTGGGGAAGTTATAGAGCATAGAAAACAAGTGCCTTTTAAAAATTATTTAACGTACATTATTTTGCAAGAATAAAGACAGTTTTGCTGGTGAGTATTTGTGATATGATGTTTTTCTTTAAAAAGCATAATACTAAGAATCCACGCACTATACCAACATTTAGTACATTTGCTGCATATTTAGCAACAGTATTATCAAAATGCTTTCACAACAAGAGAGAAAAGGAAGGAAGAAGAAATCTGAGAGCACAACAGGATCAACTGGGGCAGTTTGCAGGAGCAGAGATTTTCCTTCCACTGATCCTAACATGTATGCTGACACCTGACAGACATACTGTCTAGTGGCTGGTTCTGTACTGTCTGTGATGGAAACATTTTCTGAGCCAGAGAAATTTCTGTAAACCTTATATTCTAGAGAAAGGAACAGACAATAAATAGCCATGCCAAAAACGTTAGAACTAAAGATAATAATTATAATTACAAAATACAAATAATAAAATAACTGGAGCATAATGTTCTATGAAAAATGTGAAACTGAATACATTCAGATGAAATTGGAGGCAGACTGTTATTTTGAGTAGCATGGAGTGAGAATTGACTCTGAATGGTAATGGGTGGGTGATGTTTAAACAAAAATCTTTAGTGATAAGAAACTGACCAAGCTAAGAACCTGTGAAAGCTTCTTCAATTAGAGGAAACATTAAAGACATTTAAAACGCTTAGTAACTAACTTTTTTCCAGAATATCCTGCTTAAAAATGTTATTGTCAGGAGAGAAGGCAGAGACACTGCTGCAGCTAGTCTCCAGTGCACCCAGCCGCCAGACGGAAGCCAGTCTCTCACCACCTTAAAGTAGGGAGAAATTGCCGTACATTCCACCACTGGCAGTTTTAGCTAAGAGGGAATTCTACAGCCTCTCACTCACTTTTATTTCAGCCTGGAAAGCTGACTGGGGTCTGTGAAACTGCTAGTCTTGGAGCAGGGAAGCTGCATTGCTTTAGAGCTACAGTATTGGTGCCACAATCCCCAGCCATTACTCAGGCTTACCAGTAGGACAAGGGCACAAGCCGTCCTGTTCTCCCTCACCACCAAAAACAAGGTACCGGCTATGACATTCACAAGGGAAACTGACTCTAAACTCTCTGTGGGCCAAATATATACACTTAAGGAAAACATTATTCATCTCAAAGCCATACTTCTATCCCTTTGAGCTAACAAAAGAAATCACTGCACTCCCAGGCTCATTTAGAACCAAAGCTAAAGCAACAAGCCAAGTGGTACCCTGCATTCCAGATAAACCGTAAACTCTTTTCCAGTAAAACCCACTCCATAAAGAAGAGAGTACATGCACACTGGGTTCTAGTCCCGGTCGGGGCACCGGATTCTGTCCCGGTTGCCCCTCTTCCAGGCCAGCTCTCTGCTGTGGCCAGGGAGTGCAGTGGAGGATGGCCCAAGTGCTTGGGCCCTGCACCCCATGGGAGACCAGGATAAGCACCTGGCTCCTGGCTCCTGCCATCGGATCAGCGTGGTGCGCCAGCCGCAGCGCGCTGGTCGCGGCGGCCATTGGAGGGTGAACCAACGGCAAAGGAAGACCTTTCTCTCTGTCTCTCTCTCTCTCACTGTCCACTCTGCCTGTAAAAAAAAAAAAAAGAAGAAGAAGAGAGTACACGAGATGGACAGAAGTCAATGTGTAGACACAAAAGACATGAAAAAGCAAGGTAGCATGATACCTCCAAAAGAACACAGGAAGGTTACTGAATTACATCCTGATCTGAAGGAAATCTGTGAAATGACAGTTAGAATTCAAAATAATGAGTGTAAGGAAATTGAACAAGATGAAAGAGAATACATATAGGTTAAATTAATGAGGAAATTAATGCGTGACATGAATGAAAATATTACTAAGGAGACAGAACTCATTAAGAAAAACCAAATAGAAATTTTGCAAACAAAATCTTCAGTCAGTGAAATAAAATATATGATTGAGAGCTTTAACAACAGAATAGATCAAGTGGAAGAATTTATCCCCAGGACATGAATTTCAAAATAACCATATCAGACAAAAACAAAGAGAAAAGAATTAAGAAGAAGGAATAAAGTCTATGTGAAATACGGGATACCATTAAATTACCAAATATTTGTATTATAAGCATTCTGGAAGTAGAAGAAAAGGGAAAAAGCATTAGGAATCTGTTAAATGATAATACTTGAAAATTCCCCAAGTCTTGAAAGAGACATGGACATCCAGATAAAAGCACCTCAAAGAATCACAAGCAGACTCAACCAGAAAAGGTCTATCCAAGGCATGCATGTAATTCTCAAATTGATGAAAGTTAAATAGAAGGAAAGAATCATAAAGACAGCAAGAGAAAAACATCAAGTAACATACAAAGGCAATCAGTTAGGTTAACATCAGATTTCTCAGTGGAAACCCTACAGACCAGAAGACAATGGGAAGATATACTCAAGGCCATAAAAGAAAAAAAAATTACAACCAAGAATATTATATCCAGAGAAGATATCTTTTAAAAACAAAGGAGAAATATTTTCTAGATAAGCAAAAACTGAGAATTTACTACAACCAAGCCAGCCTTGCAAGAAATTGTGATGGGTGTCCTGCATTAGAAGAAATATTAAACACATGTCACCACCAAGTTCACTGATGGAGAAGGTAGAATTATGGCCCAATCAACAAAATGACTAGTCTTACTTCTTATCTATCAGTATTAACTTTGAATGTAAATGAATTAAATTCACCAACCAAAAGACGTAAGTTGGCTGAATGGATAAAAAAAAAAGACCACACTATATGCCTCCTATAAGAAATTCACTTCACTACCAAAGATACACACAGATTGAAAGTGAGGTGTTGGAAAAAAGATCTAACCGGCAAATGGAAACCAAAAGCAACCACGTTATGCTATCCTGACAACAGATGATTTTGACTACGAATGAAAAGCTGTAAAAAGAGATAAAGTAGAATGTTATATTTTGATAAAAAAATTCTATTCTTCAAGAAAACATAACAGCCATAAATATAAATTATATATATATTCATATATATATATTGAATATATATATATATTTAAAATTTACCATCCAGATGTATACAGCAAATACTATTTGATCTAAAGGGAAAGACAGACTCCAACACAATAATAGTGGATGTTTTCAACACACTATTCTCATCAATGGACAGGTCATCCAGACAGAAAATCAGTAAAGATACAGAAAAAGCAATATTAAGAGGAAAGTTTATAGCATTAAATGCTTATATTAAAAAAAAGAGAAATGTTTGGTAATAACAATAGATAGAATTAAAAAAGAGAGAATGATTCAACATGGGGAGCAGGCTACACAGCAGATTCATAGAATAATAAATGCCACTCTGACCTCAGAATCAGCCGTTAAGGCATTTGGATCTGGCTGAAGGGCCGTGAGAGCATTACAAGCATGGAAAGCCCAGTCACTGTGGCAAAAATGATCTACATGAAAGATCTCTGTGAGTGAGATCCCAGTGGAAAGTAGGGGCCATCAAAGATGGATGTACTTTTCTCTGAAGGGAGGAGAGAGCTTCCACTTTGCTTATGGCAAAAAAATACTAAAAGAGTTTGTTTTGCTCAAAAGACTTCCATAGCCTTAACATGACAAGAGCCTTGAGTGATCACTGACATCATAAAATAAAGTGTCAATTGTTAAATCAACAATAGGAATCACTTTGCACTTACTCCCCATTTAGGATCTCAATCCTTAATGAGTTGCACAATGAAAATTAACAGTAAAACTGTCTTCAAACAATACTTTATACTTTGTGTGTCTGTGTAGGTGCAAACTGTTGAAATTGCTATTTAGTATAGAGTTGGCCTTCTGTAAATAAAGATAATTAAAAATGAATCTTAATTAAGAATGGGATGGGAGAGGGAGTAGGAGGTGCGATGGGAAGGGGTTGGAGGGACAAGTATGGAGGTAAGAATCGCTATATTCCTAAAGCTGAACCTATGAAATTTGTATGTATTAAAATAAAGTAAAAGAGAGAAAGAGAAATGTTTCAAGTTAAAGATCTAATGATGAATCTTGAAGACTTATTAATACAAGAAGAAACCAAACCACAAATCAGCAGGAGGCAAGACGTAATAAGGATCAGAGCAGAAATAAATGAAACTAACTAAAGAATAAAAAAATCAACAAAACTAGAAATTGGTTTGTTGAGAAGACAAAATAAACTTCTAGCCAGAATATCAAAGAAAAATGGAAAATACTCAAATAAAGTTAGATATGAAAAATGGAACACTACATATTGAAATCAGGAATTGCAATGCCTCTAGCTCTGTTCTTGTTGTATATGGTGGCTTTAGCTATCCGTGGTCTCCTGTGTTTCCATACGAATTTTAGCATCACTTTTCTAAACCTGGAAAGAATGTCATTGGTATTTTGATTGGAATTGCATTGGCTCTATAGATTGTCTTTAGTAGTATGGACATTTTAATGATGTTTATTCTTTCAATCCATGAACATGGAAGAGATTTTATTTTGATGATTTCTTCTATTTCTTTCTTTAGTTTTTATAATTTTCATCATAAAGATCTTTTACATCCTTGGTTAAATTTACTTTAAGGTATTTGATTTTTTGGAGCTATTATGAACAGAACTAATTTTGAAAATTATTTCTGATCCAAGGTATTGTGTTGCTAGATAAGGCTATTGATTTTTGTACAATGCTTTTATAACCTTCAACATTACCAAACTCTTATATGAGTTCCAAAAGTCTCTTAGTGGTGTATTTTCAATCCCCAGCATGCATGAACATGTCATCTGCAAACGCAAATAGTGTGTGATTTTTTCCTTTCTGATTTGTCTCCCTTTAATTTTTATTTCTTGCCTAATGGCCCTGGCTAAAACTTCCTGGACTATATTAAATAGCAATGGTGAAAATGGGCATCCTTGTCTGGTACTGGATCTTAGATATTCAATAGGATGCTGGATGTGTCGAGAAATGTTCTTTCTAAATTCAATTTGTTTAAGGTTTCATCATAAAATTATGTTTTCTTTTATCAAATGCTTTTGCTGCATCTCTTGAGATAACTGTATGGTTTTGGTTTTTCAGTTTGTTAGAGGGATGTGTAACATTTATTCATCTGTGAATGTTGAACCATCCTGCATACCACGGGTAAATCCCACATAGTATGGGTGAATGATTTTTCTGATGTGTGGTTGGATTCAATTAGCTAATATTTTGCTGATGATTTTTGCATCTATGTTCATCAAGGATATTGGTCTATATTTCTCTTTCTCTCTTATATCTTTTTCTGACTAAATAATTAAGGTAATTTAGGCTTCATGAGGTGAGTTTTGGGAGGATTCCTTCCTTTTCAAATGTTATGAATAGTTTAAGAATTGGAGTTCTTTAAATATGTGGTAGCATTCAGCAGTGAAGCCATCTGGTCTTGGGCTTTTTTTTTTTTTTTCAGAAAGTCTTTGTTATTGATCCAATCTCTGTCTTGGTGATTGGTCTGTTTAGGTTTTCTATGTCTTCATGACTCAATTTTGATAGATTGCATGTGTGTGGAAATCTATTCCTTGCTTATAGGTTTCCCAATTTGTTGGCATAGAGTTCTTTGTAGTAATTCCTGATAATTCTTTTTATTCCTGTGATAACTGTTGTTACATTTATTTTTTTCATCTCTAATGTTATTGATATGCATCTTCTCCATCTTTTCTTCAGTTAGTTGGGTCAATAGCATATCAATTTTGTTTATTTTTTCAAAAAAAACCAGTTCTTCATTTCACTGATTGTTATAAATCTCCTTCTTAACACTGATTTTCCTATATCCCATAAGTTTTGATATGATGTATTGTCACCTTCATTTGTTCCCAGAAATTTTGTAATTTGGGAACTAGTTTTATAGTTTATTCTCATAATATAGCTCATTGAGGGCAGGGGTCCTGCATGGGGAGTTAGTGTACTGTGACCTCTGTTTTTAATTAACAATTAACGTTTATGTATGACTTCAGTGACCACCTGAGATTTTGACATGAGCTGCCTTGGCTTGAAGAATTTTGAGTCCACAAACTCCATCAGTATTTAGACAAGGCCATGAGCAAAGTGGAAGTTCTCTCCTCCCTTTGGAGAAAAGTGCATCCTTCTTTGATGGCCAATTCTTTCTGCTGAGGTCTCATAGAGGTCCGTCATGTATAACATTTTTTGCCACATTATCTTGACTTTCCATGCCTGAAATGCTCTTATGCGATTTTCACAAGGACCAGAAAACCTTAAGAGCTGATTCTGAGATCAGAGTGTTACTTAAAGTGATTGTCATTCTGTGAGTCTGCTCTGTGGACTGTGTCCTATGTTGGAACATTCTCTCCTTTTTAATTCTATCTATTATTATTACCAGACAATTGATCCTATTATCACATTAACACTTAATCATATCTATATCTTCACTTTAACACTTAATATGATCACTTTAACAATTAAGATAACATTTTTACCACCAATCTTAATGGGATTTGGAGTCCCATGACAAGTTTTTCTTTATGTTTTACTGTGGAAAGTTTGACTACAATGTATCATGGTGAAAATCTTTTCTGTTCATATCTTTAGGAGTTCTATGTGCTTCCTCCCCTTGAGTGTTCTTTTCTTTCTCCAAATTGTGAAGTTTTCTGTAATTATTTCACTAAATAGGCCTTCTAGGCCATTCTCTCTTTCTTCCCAGAAATACCTAAGACCCATCTGGTGGATCACTTTATAGTATCCCATAAATCTCCAACACTGTTTTTAAGTTTTCTAAACAGCCTGGTACAAGTACAAAAACAGATTCGTAGACCAATGGTATAGAATAGAAGCTCCAGATCAATCCATGCATCTACAACCAACTTATACTTTTATCCCATGGATGAGTGTGTTGACAGATTACAAAAGAAAGCCTTCACTTTACTGAAATAATTAGTGCTGGCTTTTATCCACTTTCTGCCTAAACCTGTAAAAAATTAAGTAGCATATAACATAATATCAGGCAGTAATAAATAATATAGAATTTAAAAAATAAAGATCTTTTATATGTAATCTTATGAAATTAATATTAATTTAAATTAGAAAACTTGTTTTCTGTTTATATAAGTGATACTAATAAAAATAGTCAATTTGATGTAAAATATATTAATATAAAATGCTACAGAAGATATATATTACACATATATAGGAAATACATGCACCTTTAAAAATTAATTATATGCCTTTCAGAGAGGAAGAAAATAATAACTTGATGTTTACAATAGAAAAATTATGAAAATATTTATAATTATTTTGTTGGCTTCTAAGCCATTCAAATTGTCTTTAAAATGATAATAGATCAGCATTGTTTTCTAAATATTTTTTATCCTGCACTCTGAGACTCTCTTGTCACACTTGCAGAGAATGCCATACCACAGTAGTTGCTACAAATTTAATTTATCACATACTATTACGGCATGTACTCATATGTCTTCTATCCCTTATTTCTGACAAGAAGTATTTCCTGCAATACGGATTGAGTAATGTATATATTCTTTACAGTACAGCCTCACATCATACGACTTCAAAATGAAACTACATATGAGAATGGTCATGTTACACTCATCTGTGAAGCAGAAGGGGAGCCTATTCCAGAAATAACTTGGAAAAGAGCTGTAGATGGCATCACATTTTCTGAAGGCGATAAGGTAACAGCAATCAATGTATAACAGTTGCCAATACCATTGTAGATTCTGGAGTTCTGAATATTATTAAATCTCATGTGAGTCTCTAATTTGTCAAGTATTTTTCACCAATAAAATTAATGATTTAATTGTTTAAAGGACACTAGCACAAATTGTTTTGAATTAACTTTGGAGGAGAAATCAAATGTATAATATTTAATGATTTTTATTAAGTAATAAATATAGCCTATTTCTATTAGTGTTAAGGTTGCTCACATGGACTTTTGATATACATCCAATCCATGAAATATGCTGTGGCAATTTTAACCTGTATCCCTGCTGTGTAAATGACTAGTCCAAATTAAAAATTTTTGGCTACCCTTCAACTTTTTACTCTTTAGAACTGTTTTTCATTGTTGTTCAGAAGATTAGTTTTCTGATTTCAATAACAGATTCTAATAAGAGAAATAAGAATTAAGATAACATAATAATTTGCTAATTCTTCACCATAATGCTTTTGATTTGTTTTTCAGAAATTGACTAAACGTTATCATGTGTTGTACTATATTTTATGGATTTTCATTAGTGTTGTTTTTCATAGCGATTCACTCAAAGCACTAAATATAGAGAAAGATAAAAAAGAAAGGAGAATATAGTGAATTAATGACATAAAGGAAGTCACGTTTTTATTTAAATAAAGGTCATGAAGTTAGACTTTCTGATTGCTTTTCTCTCCTCAAGGAGTATTTTTCCTTTAAACTACTTTCATAAATTTTAATTAATTTTCAGAAACCATCTGAGCTCTAAAAATACATACACTACAAAACACCTTTCACTTAATAGCACTCACAGATGAAAAAATGATATTGAATATCATGTTAACCCTATTAATTGACAAAAGACATATATCTTGTCCATTCATTATTTTTGAAAGAATATTTGCTATATATATTACCCTTTTTGTCTCATTTCCTTACCATTAAGGCATTTTTAAGATATTATATCTGTTTTTAATAATATTTATACAGTTTTGATGTAATTATTTTATATATTAATCTTGAAAATAAAATTTTAATATGAAATTCATTGTCTCTTAAAATCCACTAAAATGTTACAGAGTTTGCTTTTATATTTCCTTAACATACAATAATAGATATGACTACAGCCCAGTTGCCAAAATTGAAGATAATTAAATTTTAATAAATTTTGGAAAATACAGTCAAATATATAAAACTATGAAGGACACTTTTCAGATTTCAATTTGGCATGTTTCTTTATATTAACTCACTGAGGAGTATTCTTCCCTTTGGCCTTTTTTAAACAAACATTCATATAACTAATATGCTTTCTATTTATTTTGCTGTCTGCTGTAAAGTTCTGTGAAGTTCTCTTTTCAAGGATTGCTCCTCATTTTCTAGATGTCTCCTTATGACTTTACTAAGGTTGTAAGATAAAATATCCTCATCCATTTTATTTATAAAAAATGATCAGGAAACCAAAAAGCTGTAACATTTTTTTTTGACAGGCAGAGTGGACAGTGAGAGAGAGAGACAGAGAGAAAGGTCTTCCTTTGCCATTGGTTCACCCTCCAATGGCCGCCGCGGCCAGCGCACTGCGGACAGGGCTCCGCACTGATCCGAAGGCAGGAGGCAGGTGCTTCTATTGGTCTCCCATGGGGTGCAAGGCCTAAGCACTTGGGCCATCCTCCACTGTACTCCCTGGCCACAGCAGAGTGCTTGCCTGGAAGAGGGGCAACTGGGACAGAATCCAGCGCCCCAACCGGGACTAGAACCCGGTGTGCCGTTGCTGCAAGGCGGAGGATTAGCCTAGTGAGCTGTGGCGCCAGCCAAAAAGCTGTAACATTTTATTCTTGGATCTTTACCCCAGGCCACCTCAAACCTTACCTAGAAATATCTTCTATAGTAGATTTAAAAATAATGTTTTATTTTCTGTTCCTAATGAATATCTCTATGAAAGAACATACTCTTTCACCATGATTTGTCAAAAAATTATAAAAACCTAAATATGCATTCTTCTCCAACTTTTACACAATTAATAAATAAATTAAAGCTATTCATTTATGTAATGGTACGTCTCTGAAAAAATTAAAAAATTAAAAATAAAAAATAAATTTAATTTTTTTTAAATTTAAAAAAATTAAAAATTTTTTTTTTAGTTTTTACCAATAAACCTTTTTATCCTATTATTATCAACTGCTGCAACAGAAAAATTCACAAATTGAATATTTTAGGTGACCTTTCTGAAAGCAAATCTAATTTTGAATTTCAAATTTGTGGTTTACTTTGATGATATAATATAGCATTTTTTCATATGAGTTTATCCCTTTTAAAATGTTAATAATTGCATCCCTCTTATTGTTGTAAGGAATATGAATATATACATGATATGTTTGTTGTAAGGCATATGAATGTATATAATTATATAATACGTATATATAACATGAATGTATATAATACATATAAAATATGTGAAAAATATTTAGCATATTTTACATATGCCATAAACTTTTATCTTTGTCATATCATACAAATTTTTAGCATGAATTTTCCTGTTGTTATTATTCTGAATAAATCTTAGTTTCCAAAAGACTTCATAAATTCTGTCACCCAAAACTTGCTTGAACACTAAAACAATGACAGATTATATTGAAATCATATAATTTTTCTCATGAAAATTGCCATGAGATGGCATAATTTATAAGAATTATTTGGAGATCCTGTTGTAGTTCATATGTATCCTCTCCCTAATTTGGATTTAGTGAAACTACTCTAGGGCAAACCATGCATTTATTTTAACTTTTATTTAATAAATATGAATTTCCAAAGTACAACTTTTGGATTGTAGTGGCTTTCCTCCCTCCCTGTAACCTTCCTCCCCCCGCAACCATCCCATCTCCCACTCCTTCTCTCATTCCATTCTTCATCAAGATTCATTTTCAATTATCTTTATGTACAGAAGATCAACTTAGTATATACTAAGTAAAGATTTCAACAGTTTGCACCCACTCAGAAACCCAAAGTATAAAGTACTGTTTGAGTACTAGTTATAGCATTAATTCACAATACACAAGACATTAAGGACAGAGATCCTACATGAGGATAAGTGCACAGTGACTCCTGTTGATTTAACAATTGACACTCTTATTTATGACATCAGTAATCACCCGAGACACTTGTCATGAGCTGCCAAGGCTATGGAAGCCTCTTGAGTTCGCCAACTCCGATCTTATTTAGACAAGGCCATATTCAAAGTGGCAGTTCTCCCTTCAGAGAAAGTTACCTCCTTCTTTGATGGCCCGTTCTTTCCGCTGGGATCTCACTCACAGAGATCTTTCATTTAGGTCATTTTTTTTGCCACAGTGTCTTCAGCCATGCATATTCAATGAATTCATATAGATATGTTTCCATCCATATTGTGCAAGACAACTCTTAACATTGCAAACATGTGGATCATAAAACAACAAAATGCCATCAGTATCACATGGATCAAACTAATAATTTCATTCAACATCACGATAACATACTTAGTAAATGTGTTCATCTTGTTCATTTTCAAAGAGGATAAATGTCTAAAAGAATGGAATCCATTTTCCTTGTATTGAGTTTACAATCAATCACTAAAGAGCACAAAATAAATGAGGATAAAATATACATGGTTAAAGCTATAGGTAAGTGAGCATTATATGAATTGAAGAATCAGATGAAAATATACAATTTAATTATACATACCATTAGACCCTACAGCCCTCCCTTGGGAGAGAAAGAGAAGCTAGGGTTACCAAATATGTGTAGTCTTAAAAACTATTCATATAAATTTCAAGTATATTTTATAGGCATATACACTTGCTATAATAATATTTCCAATTGTCCAATATTATCACAGGTTAATATTTTGTCCTTTGTTTCACTGAATAACTTGTCACTAAATTCTATTTGTTAATTTGAAATTGATCACACATTTATTTTTGTGATAATAAAAATATTGATGATATTTCTATTAAAATATCATTGATGTCCTGAGATTATTCAAATCTAATCAAATTCAGTTCAATTTCAGAATATAATTAGGAGTCTTCTCAAGGTGCATGCATGTAAGAAAACTAGAAGCTCCTGGTCTCTCTCCATAATTGATGCTATATACTAAATTTTACAATTTAAACAAACATAATAAACTTTAAGACATAACCAGTGCTATTATTCAAGAATACAAAATAGCCAAGAATTACAGCTTTAAAATTGTCTTTTACATCGTAAGCAATCTAATTTTTTTGCCTTAAAAATGTTTATAAAATAAAACCATGAATCTTCCCAAAAGTTGCACTGAAGAATTTGTGAGATTGTGTCTAAAGTGATCTGACATAGTCCCTGGCACACAATATAAATACTAACTAAATGTTTACACTTAATGTTGAAAAGACTCATCTATTTTGAACCAAAGTTTCTTTCAATAATCTATCATTATTTTTGTTGATCAATAAATGTTAGAATAAATCGGTAAATGCCACAGCGATTGATTTAATTATGACTGGAAGTCATGAAAAGTGTCATACAAACCGAAGTTTATTCCTGACTTTGTCACTTTTGTTGTGTCATTGGTCACCTTACTTCTCATATGTAATTTCAGTTTCTGTGGATCATAAGATCCTACCTGGAAAATTTTTTCTGAAAATGAAAGAGCACAGCTAACTAACTACATCCAAACACAAATCAAACTTATTTTCCATTGACCTTGTAGATAATCAGAATTCTTTAGTATTAAACTTATTGTTATGTTACATTTAGATATTTTATAAATAGAAAAAGTGTTGCATTCTGTGCCAATTAGTTCTACCCCAAAAAGAACCTCAAAAAATCTTCATGGTCTGGCCATGGATAAATGAAGAAATTACATCCTTGATAATGAGAGCCTTCCCCCTAGTTGTCACAGATTGTGTTCCTTTAACGTAGGTGCAAAAAGTTCACTTTAAAATTATCTCTGGCCAGCGCCGCGGCTCACTAGGCTAA